GTAGAAGTGTTCCCTTCTTTCCACATCCATGTCAGCATCTGCAGTTTTGAGATTTTGTGATGTGGGCCATTCTAAAAAACTTTTTAAAAGTTTTATTATAAATGATAAAATGATGTTAATAATGAACTTTCATCAAATTTTTTTTATAGATTCATTTGAAAGCTGAAACAAAACTGTCTTAGAAGAAACCATTAACAATCAGAACTTTTTTCTGAAATCAGGCATTTAGTTCTGGGTTGACGTATTTGTTGCCAAGATATGGAGGTGAGAACCGAGAGCTCTAATTTAACTCTTCATATGGTATTTTGCACATGGTCATGCCCTCATCCAGAAAGTTAAGACCATGAAGAAAAGTCAGTGATGACAGCCATGCAGACTAGAGCACAGCACAGAGGCGCTCTACAGGAGAGAGGACCTGTTTTTTTCTTTAATCCAAACTTCTAGAAGTCTTCAGTGATGAGTTTCTAGAGAAGTGGTTCTCAGCCTTCCTAATGCCATGGCCCTTTAATACAGTTCCTGTGGGTTGCAACCCCCAGGTTGAGAACTGCTGTTATAGAGAATCTCCATTGATTTGAGAAATACAGTAAAATAGTTATGCAGTAGTACCAGATCTTAAGACACTGAATTTAGGAGGTGTAGATGTTTTGATTTGACTTTTAGGTAATGACAAAATACTTCACTGCAGTGAGCTATGACTATTCCACTGCACTCTAGCCCGGCCAACAGTGAGACCTTGTCTCAAAAAAAAAAAAAAAAAGAAGAAGAAGAAAGAGACAAAGGAAGGAAAGAACGGGATTCAGCAGAGATATGCAAGCTTTATTTACCCCATCACTGAAACCAGGAATAGTGATGCTAGTGTAAACTGATGAAAGTTTAATCATTGAAACTTTCTGTCATTGGCACTGATTTGGTAGATATTTTGATACTTTTTAAATTGGGGGGGTATTGTAAACATACATTGTATATCATACAAACAGATTTTTACATTGATAATCATTTAACACCCTGTGAACATTAATAATAGCTATGAATCTATCAATTTATTCTTCATATGAAGCTAGTAGATGTCATTTTATATTATTTAAATACATTATAATTATATGGTTAATGCTAGTTTGTATCCCCTTTTTTCTTCTTAAAGATAAAAACTAAGCCTAGTGGAATCTATAGAATTCTATCAGACTATAAGTTCCATGAGGAATTTCTGCATGTGATTTAAATTTTTTCCTCTTATTTTCTCTAGGGCCTATTCCCTGGTGGATTCCAGTCAAGTGTCTACATTTCTGATTTCCATTCTTCTTATAGTCTATGGTAGTTTCAGGTAAGATGTTCTCAAATGGGGTTGGTTTTAATTGGAGGTGGAAGAAGCACCACTATGAAAGTGTTGGCATCCAAACTTACTATTCAGTGAAGAGAAACAAGATTTTGGCAGCTAACAGCCAAAAACTAATTGCTTAAAATTCTGGTTCTGAAAATAATGACTCACCTAAGAGCAGTCATTATCGGGGAAGGTTAAGGAGACAGTCCTTGACAATGATTCTGGAGTCTCAAGGGGAACAAAAAGTTTAAATAGAGGGACAGTTTGAAATATAGAAAAAAATTAGTAAATCTCCATGTAATAGACTCATAAACCTAATACTACTTTCATTATGGAAATTACCTTTTGTTTAGCATATTCTGAATATACTGTGTACATTTTCATAGTTGAAATCATTTTATATTCTGATTTTTTCGTCAGAAATAAATATTTTCTACAATCTTCATACTAGTTTTTAGTAATTTGATTTTTTTATGTTACTATTTTATTCTACTTTTGTTGGACATGTGGATTTCTTTTTCTTTTTCTTTTTCATTTTTTTTTTTTTTGAGACAGAGCCTGCCGGTGGCATCACAGCTCACAGCAACCTCTAACTCCTGGGCTCAAGCGAGTCTCCTGCCTCTGCCTCCCAAGTTGCTGGGACCACAGGCGCCTGCCACAATGCCTGGCTATTTTTTTTTTTTTTTTGGTTGCAGCCATCGTTGTTTGGTGGCCTGGGCTGGATTCAAACCCGCCACCTTAGGTGTATGTGGCTGGCGCCTTAGCCACTTGAGCCACAGGCACTGAGCCAGACATGTGGATTTTTATAGGACCATCTTTTTTGTGTGTTGTTTTGCTTTGGTTGAATTATATTCCTAAGATAGATATCACAAAGTTGAAATACTCTGCCAGAGTGTATGAACTGGCTCTTACTACATACATATTGCCACATTGCTTTTCAGAGGGATTATACCAATTTAGGACTGAGTGACCTTTAAACAAAATTTTGTGTAATAAATGTGCCATATAATTATGTCATATAGATGGAAAAGATTTCTCAGGAGAACCTCCCTGTTGACAAATGGGAAAATTGAAGCCCTGCCAGATGATGTAATTTCACAAAGATTATACAACTAGTAGGTAACAAAGTCTAGATTAGAACAGTTCTCAAGACTTCTTGCCCAGGCTCAATGCCTCTGGCTCTAGTGGCTAAGGCGCCAGCCACGTATACCTGAGGTGGCAGGTTCGAATCCAGCCCAGGCCCGCCAAACAACAATGATGGCTATAACCAAAAAAAAAAAATAGCCAGGTGTTGTGGCGGGTGCCTGTGGTCCCAGCTACTTGGGGGGCTGAGGCAGGAGACTCACTTGAGCCCAGGAGTTGGAGGTTGCTGTGAGCTGTGATGCCACGGCACTCTACCCAGGGTGACAGCTTGAGGCTCTGTCTCAAAAAAAAAGACTTCTCGTCCAATACCTTATATCCTTTATACTTTAATAATGCATTTTCAGCAAATAGTAAATCATGATCCTTTAATTACATCTTTAAATTGAACTCTTAAGTTATTTTTGTTTCTTTTTTGTTTTCTGGAAGAGATTACTTAAAATGGTGTTATTTCATCTTTAAATATTTCATAGAACTCACCAGTGAAGCCATCTAAAGCTGGACTTCTCTTTGTGAGAAGATATTTTTTATTTTTGTTTTTTCCCTACTTGGTTTACCACCTTTAAAAAAATAGTGGGAAGGGCTTTATTTTTTTTATGATAAAATATTATATAACACAAAATGTACCATTTAAACCATTGCTAAAGGTATAGTTTGGTAGCAGGTGGTAAGGGCTTTTGAAACTTATATTATTGTTTGTCTTTTTATTATAGCTATTCCAGTACTAGGGTGTAAAGTGGTATCTTATAGTGGTTTTGATCCATTTCCAAGGGATTATTACCATGCTGAAAAGATGTTGAGGATCTAAAGTCCAAATTACCAATTTCATGTTTTATGGAACATACTTTTTTCCTATGTCTTCTTTAAGAAGTTTTATATTTTTTCCTTATTTTTAGTATTATGATTAGTTTCTAGTTAACTTTTGTGTATGCCATCAGGTACAAATTTAAATTCATCTTTTGTGAATGTGACTGTCCAGCTGTCCTGGCACTGTTTCTTCAAAAGACCATTCTTTACCCAGTTGAATTGCCTTGGTTCCATTGTCAAAAATCACTTGACTAGCTTCGGGTGGTGGCACCTATCTGTAGTCCCACCTACCTGGGAGGCTGAAGTGAGAAGATTGCTTGAGGGCAGAAGTTTGAGTCCAGCCTGGGTAACAGCAACAGCAAGACCTCATCTCTAAAAAAAATTTTAAAAACAAATTTTAAAAAATTCCAGCTGACCACTTAAGGGTTGGTTATGAGTCTCTCATTTCTGTTCTGTTGGTCTTTGTGTCTGTTCTTATGCCAATACTACACTGTCTTGATTTCTGTCACTTTTATAGTAAGTGTTGAAATCAAGTAGTGTAAGTCCTATAATTTTGTTGTTTTTCAAATTTGTCTAGCTACTCCGGATCCTTTGCCTTTCCATGTAAATTTTAGGTTTAGCTGGGCAATTTCTACAAAGAAAATACAGCCTGCAAGGATTTTGATAGGCATTGTGAACCTGTAGATGAGTTTGGGGAGAATTGCTATCTTGACTCTTTTAATCCACGCACCTGGAATCTCTCCATTTCTTTAGATCATCCTTATTTTCTTTTAGTAGTGTTTTGTAATTTTCAGTGTACAAGATTTGCACTACTTTGTGAAATTTATTCCTAAGTAATTTTTTCTTTTTCATGGAATGTTTTTTTCTTGATTTCATTTTTGTATTATTCAAAGTACGTAGAACTACAGTTGATTTTTATACATTCACCTTGTGCACTATAGCTTTGCTAAACCCACTTACTAGTGCTGGTAGTTTTTTCTGTATGGATTCCTTAGGATCATCTACAAACAGGACTATGATGTGTGCAAATAAATACAGTCTTGCTTCTTCCTTTCAAATCTGAAAGCCTTTACTTTGACCTTCTTCCTGTTTTCCCCCTTTTATTATACAGCGTTGACTAGAAGGGACAAGGGTACATATCCTTTCTTTCTTTGTTCCCCATCTTAAGGGGAACATATTACTTGTTAAGTATGACGTTAGCTGTGCATGTTTTATAGATGTGCTTTATCAGGTTGAGGAAATTTCTTCTAGTTGTGGAGCGTTTTAGTCGTGAATGGGGGTTGCATTTTGTCATGTGTTTTCATGCTTCTATTGAGATGATCATGTAAGTTTTGTCCATTCTATTAATATAGCATATTTTAAGAGGTTTTTTTTTGAGACAGAGTTTATGTCACCCTCAGTAGAGTACTGTAGGGTCACAGCTCACAGCAACCTCCAACTCTTGGGCTTAAGAGATTATCTTGGCTCAGCCTCCCAAATAGCTGGGACTACCGGTGCCTGCCACAATGCCTAGCTATTTTTTGGTTGTATTTGTCATTGTTGTTTGGCAGGCCCAGGCTGAGTTTGAACCCACCAGCTCCAGTGTATGTGGCTGGCGCCTAGTCGCTGAGCTACAGATGCCAAGCCTTAAGCCTTAAGCCTTTATTGAGATATGACATACATGCCATAAAGTTTGCCCATTTAAAATGTGCACTTCAGTGGTTTTTAGTATATTTATAAAATTGTGCATCCATCCCCATAATCCAATTTTAGAATTTTATCATCATCCCAAAAGAAACCTTGTATTCATTAGCAGTTATTCTTCATTCCTCTTCCTGCAGCCCCCAGCCCTAGGCAACCACTAATCTACTTTCTGTCTCTATAAAAAGGAACATGTCTTAGAAATGGAATCATACATCATTTGGCACCCATAACACAGTGGTTACAGCACCAGCCACATGCACCAAGGCTGGCAGGTTCAAGCCTGGCTCAGACCAGCTAACCAACGATAACAACTGCAACAAAAAAGGTGGCCAAGCGTTGTGGCGGGCACTTGATGTCCCAGCTACTTGGGAGACTGAGGCAAGAGAATCACTTGAGCCTAGGAGTTTGAGATTGCTGTGAACTGTGATGCCAGCACACTCTACCAAGGGCGACATGGTAAGACTCTGTCTCAAAGGAGGAAAAAAAAAAAGAAATGGAATCATACAGTAAGTGACTGTTTTTGACAGGCTTCTCTCATGTAGAATAATGTTTTTGAGGTTCACCCATATTACATAATAGCATGTTATCAGTATTTCATTCCTTGTTGTGGGTGAATACTCTCTTGCGTTTTTCCATTCAAAAGTTAATGGACACTGGGTTGTTTCCCCTTTTTTGCTATTATGAATAATGCTACTGTGAACATTTACCTTCAAGTTTCTGCATGGATATAGGTTTTTATTGCTCTTCGCTAGCTACCTAGTAGCAGAATTTCTAGATTTAACATTTTAAGATCTACCACTGTTTTCCAGAGCAACGACACCATTTTACATTCCCACAAGCAACATGAGAATTTCTCCACATCCTCACTAACACTTATTATTGTCTGTCTTTATAATTACAGCTATTCTAGTGGGTATGAAGTAGTTTGTTATTATCGCTTTGGTTTGTGTTTCCTTAATGATGGACTGGACTTATATCTAGCATCTTTTCGTGTGCTATTTACCATCTTTGGTGTCTTTTGACATCTTTTGCCCATTTTAAAATTGAATTGTTTGTCTTCTTATTGTTGAATTTTGAGAGTTTTTGAGACAGAGTCTCACTATGTCACCCTCAGTAGAGTGCTATGGTGTCACAGCTCACAGCAACCTCAAACTCTTGGGCTTAAGTGATTCTCTTG